CACGGGTTACCACTCCCGCTGTGGCTAGGATGGCTCTTACCCGGCACGCTTTCGCCGGGGGTCGAACCTTTGCCCCCCATGGGACCCCAGTGCCGAGTCATCGTCACCCCCAGTCCAGGTTCAGAAAAATGTAGCTGGGATCGGAGATTCGAACCCCTGGCTTGTGGCGCACGGGGTCGACCTTCTACGGGCGCGGCTACGACGCCACAGTGTGGGTAGCCGGGCGAGCTAGGCTAAAGGCACGAGTCAGCGCAGTAGCTTGAGCGGGAGAAGGAGAAGAACCGGTTCCATCACGACACCCTCTCACCTGACCGGCCTCCTGGTTCTTTGATTTCGCTGCGAAATTTGAATTCTAAGTCGGGGGTTCTAATACTCGACGCGCCTTCAAATTATTCGTTTTTATGTTTGAATTTTTACGCATTGTACGAGAAGCTCGACTAGTTGGCAACCCGCGCTGGGGTTCGAGTCCCACCTAGGACCCGGCCGGCCCGCCTTTTTTCTCTCTCTTTCTCTCTTTCCCACGCCGCGTTATCGTTAGGCTGTGTTTCTAGTCGTTGTGCTACAAGTGCGGTCCCTAAGCCGAGTTCGTAAAGGTGTCGGGGCGGGGACTCCCGGGTCATGGGTTCAAGCCCTGCCGCCGGCTCTTTTCTTTTCTTTCTTTTTGTTGGTGGCCCGGTTCGAATGCTACAATCAGAAAAAGCTTCCATCCAACTCACGGGGGCTTGAGTCCCACCGGTAGCTGGGTGAAGCGATTTCTTCCTCTTTTGCTCACACACACACACACACACACACAAAAAAAAAAATGCGCCGGCGGCAGGGCTTGAACCCATGACCCGGGAGTCCCCGCCCCGACACCTTTACGAACTCGGCTAAGGGACCTGAGCGGTGCACGCACCTACCTATTGCCACTGGGAAGACGTACAACTCGATCGTCGAAATGACGACCATGAGGATGAAGAGCGGTCGCGTTTCCATCATATATCGGGGTGCCTTGACGTGGTACCACGGGTCGTTGCGGATGACGGCGAGGATCATGAAGAAGGAGCCAATTATGGATAGCACCGAGTAAGTTCGTATGTAGCGCCGCAACAACGTTGCGCTCCGCCTCTCGCAGTGCTCGTTGAGCGGCAGGGCCTGGCTGGCCAAAGAGCGTTCCATCGGCGTGAAGTCGTCCAGGATCTCGCGAACGGCCATGATCTGTTGGGGCACCGTGGTGCTTCAGGGGCTTCCCGACTGACGAGCCTTGGAGGGCACCCTTCCTACCCACCGTCACGGCGTGCCTCTGCAGGTGGAGCATCTTGAAGCAGCAGAGACCGGACCCGAGCGCGTCCGCCAGGAAGCCGAAGAGCTCCACGTTATTGTCGTGCTCGCCCAGACCGAAGTACACCAGCTGCGGCACGCCCGACGCGGCGAAGGTGAGCGGCAAGAAGTACTCACCGAGCACGCGCGCGAGCGGCCCGCGACCCTCGGGCCAGGAGCAGATCATCCGCAGGTAGTGAACCACGACGTCCAGGGCCTGCGCACGCACAACAACGTCAACGATGCGGGCGAGCCGACGGGTTCACCCCCTCAGCAAGCAGATCGGTGCGCACCGCGGTATGGGCCCGCGGCTCCGGGGCCGCCGTCGCACTCTCCAGGGTGTCCTCGGTGACATCGACGCGGGCGGTGCCGCTAACCCCTGGCATCACGCACGACGACACGGCTGCGACGGGGTCTTGCGAAGAGTGGCAGTCCTGGGAGCGCGACCTGGAGTGGGGCCGGGTAGGGACGGGGCGGCCGAGGTGGAAGGGGCGGGGGAGGGACACAACGCGTGGCAGGGCACAGATATTATTGCCCCAGAATAACGAACGAATGCATTGATCAGTAAAAATTAATGGTGAACGGAGCAAGAGGGGTGAGTGGAGGGGATAGGTCCGTTACCTGAAAGAAAAAACTCTCTAGAAAGTTTCGCAATGGTAATTATTTAACCCCCCAAAATTTGCCCCCCCCCCCACAACCTCTTCCCCCCCTCCAAAAAATAATATGGCAGTAGCGGTACGTACCGAGTTGTGGGGTCACTGGTGGGCCTCCGTCGCAAGCTCCGTAGCGCCATCGGGCCCTCGGACGCGGTGGCTGCTGATATCAACCTCAGCCCGCAACGCTGTTGCGACGGGGCCACAGTGGCGAGACAGGATTGGGGCGGGCAGGGCGGGGGCGGCTGGCCGTGGTAGTAGTGTATAGACAATGCTCAACTGAATAACGAAGCCGTACATTCATCATTCAAGATTATTGGTAAATAAAGCGCGGCGGCGGTAGGAGAGAGGAGTAGTGGGCACAGGGCAATGACGTCTTTCCGCAAGGGGGTAACCTTTTAGGGGGGCCAGGGCAGAGGCGGAGTTGGTGGCGAGCTGGTGAAGGCTGGTGGGACATATTCCGGTGCTCTAATGTTGCCTCTGAAAGGAACAGTAAGGTCCTAAAGCGTAATCTAGGTATTGTTCTTTCCTGCTTATTGGGGGGGGGGGGGGGGGGGTATGAGGGCATAGCTAATCACGCTCACCGGTCCGCGTACGGTTTTATTAGCAACGTTTTAAAAAATAAATTGTAAAAACCCAGACACTAGAAAGAAGAAATCGGAGTGGACCTGCCACCGCCCCCCTGCCATTGGCCCGCGCGGTGCAGGTCGTCGTCTACCTCATGTTGATCACCGTGGAGTAGAGCGAGTAAGACCGTCGCATGATCTGTGAAAGGAAGGCAAGTGGGTCATCCATCTTTTTGTTTGCGGAATAAGATGCGCCGCTCCCAGAAAACCGTTTCGTTCAAAACACAAAACATCAACATCAACGATGAAACGTTTATCTGCGAGGGGTGGACCATTTGGATTTCCCACCAAAATTTTTCCAGATATTGCAAGACCAGCATATTCCCAAAATATTCCAGATATTCCATGCACAACAAAACTATGAGCGATCGACCCCTCGCTCCTCTGCGCATTGTAAAGGCTTTATCACTCACGTCCTGGAACAGTTTCAGCGTGAGGTTCATGAGGCGGCCCGCTGTGAGGAACAGGGGCCTCTGCGCGCGCAGGACGATCATGTGCTGGATGCGTCCCAGCTGCCTATCCTTCCCGGACAGCGACGGGTGGAAGGACGCGTAGGTCGCCGAGGACAGCCGCGTCGACTAGGAGGGTTGTTTCAATGAATCCCGGGTCCAGAAGTCAGATGTAAAGTGATAAAAGCGGAACCAGCATTTGTACCAGGGCGCTGATAAACCCCGCTCACTTTTGTACTGCGCAACCCGCCCGCACGGATCCATCCGGGACTGCATGTGCATACCCACCAGGCGTAGTGGACCGGCTCTACGCGAGCTCCAACGCGTCGCTCTGTTGTTGCGACCAAACGCCTCGGAAAGGCGCACTCGCGGTTCACGCGGTCTACGCCGGGGCGTTGTTGCAAGGGGGTAACTCCCAGGTCGGCGTATCCCCCACGAAAGATTAGTAGACCGCGAGCTACCACCGCGGCAGGATACGCAGACTCGCGAACTACTCCCTTGGCCCATAGTAATGGCCCGCAGTAGACCACCCGAACCGCTAGAGCGCCCTGAGGGGGTATCGGCTGCCAACAACAGTGGCGCAGCGACGCGCTGGCGCTTGGAGCCGGTTCGCGACGCCTGTTGGGTATGCAGTCCCGGATGGTGCCGTGCGGGCGGGTTGCAGAGTACCGGGTGATTCAGAGAAGACGCAGGTGCGGGCAGGTTTGCCTATCCTCGACTTGGCGGGCGCACGGGTCCAGGGTCTGGGGAGAGGTGAGGAGGGGACCCGTGCGCCCGCCGAGTCGAGGATAGGCAAACCCGCGCGCACCTGCGTCTTCTCTGAATCACCCG